CATTTAAACAACCGTCCCAAAGGAACTTCGCATTGTGAGACAAAACCAACTGCGTGACCTTTAAGACTCGGGTTCTGCAATTGGAGTGCAACTAGCTCCTCCCCTGGCCACAAAAAGTTCAGCTTCTGGTGGCTCGAGAAGGTGATTGCGCGCTCCGAAAAAAGCCTCGTCAGACACCGCTGTAGCTGGATGGAATCGGGGTATCCTGGCTTCATCGCGCGTCAGGGCACAGTGGAGAAAAAGTGGAGTCCACAAACAGCGCCTGCAAACTGATTCCTGGAGGCCGAACGCCACACCCGGACAGTGCAAACAGACGAGCAGTGCAAACATTGCTGCTCAAGAAGCAGAACGCCGCAAGGAGGATGCAAGGCAGTTCATGGCATATCCGCTTTCTCACGCCACCTCCAAACAACCCAACATCGGCTGGAAAGAGCCCGTCCTCCAGCTTGGGAGCTGCACCCAGCCGGCCTCACGCGCGATCCGATCCGATCAAAGGGCTCGCATCGCATGGAACTGGCGCGGTCTCGTTTGGGCAAAACGAGCCCCAGCTAAAGCGTGGAGGTAAGCCCGCTTCAATGCCGGATTTCCCGTGGTAGCACCGAGGGTGCGTTGGCCCCTTCATGAAGGTACCCCCGCCCCGTTTTGAAACAGATCGTGTCTTGGTGCAACGCAAACGGCCGTAGATGCGTTGATTTGAACTGCCCACACACGAGCAGTGGACTACTTGCGCCTACGGGGAAACCTCCGCAAGCCTACGCCGCTGCAAAGGGTGCCTACGCGAGCAAAAAGTCAGTTTCCAGGCGGCTACGCGGACGCCTACGCGGGCTCAGTGCAAGTGTTGAAATGCAGTGTGGCAGCTCCAACTGGGAAATCGCAACTTTTCAGTACAAGAGCAGCTTTGGCAGCCATGATTTGTTCAAACGCCTACGCGAAAAGCCTATGCGAGGGTTGACACAACAGCCTGCGCGCAGAAACTTGCCCAACAAGGATTGCCTTTTCAAAGTGCAGTTCCCTTTTGGTATAAACCCTTTCGTTTGATTAAAAACCGCTGCTCACGCATTCTGATCAACAACGTGCCTGGGAGAATAGACTTCCGCTACGCAGTCAACGACAAAGGTCCCTTTTGGAAGCTCACGCCCGTTTTTGGTTTTGAAAGCGGAACCCACCAACGGGCATATTTTTGCACTCCTCGAAAGCACGCGCAAGTGCATTTGCAACAGCGGTTCTTTCTAGCGCGTTGGGACGCCAGAACTTTGGGGTCCTCGAAAGGGGCAGGACCAACTTTAGGCCACCCCCATCTGCTCACCAACCTGACACCCACGCCTGCCCAAAGCCCTGTAGAGTAAGGCCTCAGGAGTCGTACGGCACACCATGCAACCTTGAGCAAGAGCTAAATTTGAACTGCGCCTATGCGGCCCACCCGAGCAAACAAACCCAAAAAAAACCAAGCTGCCAGAAGCCGCGGCGATTGCAGCAAACAATGCGGACAAGGGGTGGACTCGTCTGCATCCACACGCCGTTGAGCAAAGGCCCGTCAAGGTTTCCAATCTAGGCGCGGTGGTCGTGCTTGGTTTGTGGTTCTTGATTGTTTTCCACTGTCGGTGTGTTTTGCGTGGTGGGCTTGATCTGCGTGGGATCTCGAGTTGTTTCTTTCGCGGTGTATGCCTCCCTCGCTTGCTTGCGCTCAAAAGAAAACCGTGTGTCCGCGCTGCACAAGCTAAGCTCAAAGCGCTCGCTTTTTTCAAGCAGGGACTCTAGAGCTGAGAATTCGCCCTTAGAGTCCCCTTTTCGAGAAAAGCAGGGACACTATTATTACCTCTCCGGTCCTGAAACCCAAGATTCCAACATTCTAGACTGAGCCCAGCAAGGATTTGCCATGTGGGGCCCCAAGCTTCTGACACTCCAGTTTTGAGTCGCAAAGGTTGGATTTGCGTGCCACTGAATGCTTGCTGAGCACGGCGCAACAAGCCAACCAGTGATTCGAATCCTGTTAGTTTGCTGCCATGCCGCGCCCGGAGAAAAACTAGACCACGGTTGGCCCGAAAGCATAACATCGCAAGCGAGGTTGCCCCAACGCTGCAGGATGCGTTCTCTTTTTCTTGCACGAAGCATTCGTGAAGCAAGCGCGAGACAGCGCTAGGCGGCTCATGGTCTGTTAGGTCATTGGCTGAAGGAAAAGCACGCGTCAGCCCGCGCGGCGTGACCTTGCTGCGGAAGGCGGACGCATGGCAGCAATCCAGGCTGATGCCCTCAATGGCTGGATCACCAGCGCGCCGCCCGGCTGCAAGCGCGAATCCAAGGAGGGAAGAAGCAGGAGCTGTTGCTGATGATGTCATGTTGGAAAGAGGCAAGCTGCCAGCAATGCAAGCATGTTTCCAACTAGGGGAAAATGGCTGAAGCCGCTTTGATTTCGAAACAATGCAAACATGAGTACAAATGGAAAAAAGCACTGGTACTTCAGCCACGCGCCAGGCCGCAGCCAGCGGGCGCCCGGCGCCTGCAACACAATGCACAAAGGCCAAGCGCTGTGCGCGAGGCATGCTCCGCCAGTGGCGCAGGCTGCGACGCACGACTCATTTTCCGCTTGCTTCGTTGACTGCTTTCCGAAAGGACCTTCTGCATGATCAAAAGCTTCGCACGATCCCAGCGATCTCCTCGACCTCATCGAGTTGTCCCTGATCTATATCCTGCAAGAGAGTGGGATCGGGGTCCTCATCCTCGGCCGGTTGCTCTAAATGAACGCCTCTATCATCTTCCCCTTTGATCTCCTCAACACCTTCAAGAGTCTCATTCCTCTTCTTGTATTTCTCTTGAACGGGAAAAGAAATTGGTATCTTCAAAACGATCCTCTCGGTCTGATGTGGCTGGCGTAGCCGAGGTGGAATTTTCGCCTTCCTTATGGAAAGGTCGGCGCCGGCGAAGCTTGTGAGAGTCCAGGCTCGATACTTGCGTGCCCAGTGAAGACCAGAACTCAGGTTGTAACCAGCAAAGATACCAGTTTCCCCTTTCGGTTCGAATTTCTCTCTCTTGTCTCCTCTCGCATCGCTCGGATTGAACTCAACCAACGTGCCAAATGGGATCTTCTCACCCTTGAAGTGTTCTCCATGCAATCGAAACCATGCGCTCGAACCGTTGATCTCTTCGACATTCATCAAGTGGCACAATGCAGTGATAGCGTATATCCAATAGCATGTTGGAAGTCCAGCATGTACTAGACATGCAGTCGTTTGGTCCACGATGAACTGGTTCGTACGTTCGGCAAGCGAGTTGTTCTGCTTCTTGCCCGGAAGCGATAAATCATGAGGTATCTTTAGTTCAGAAGCGTTGATGAACTCCGGTGCATCGTCCGAGTAGACTTGCTTGATCTTCCGTCTGCCAGCAAAATGCTTTATGCTGTTAATCACCGTGACGGCATTCTTGCGACCAATTGGATAGCCCATGATGATGCCAGTGTTTCTATCTCGAATGATCATGACGTACTTGTCATTGTTCTCGGCATCTCCTGCGGCTTCAACCAGATCGAAAGTGATCAAGTCACCGAACGTCTTGGCTTCACGTTGAAACGCACCAGGATCTGAAATGCCTCATCTTCGCCTTCACGCATGATTCGCAGAATGGGTTTCGATACCTGTGCGTTAGCAAATGTGTCAATGTATTGGCATCGTCCTTCAATGTGCCCATTCTCTTCTTGATGGATGCACCTTCGTAAATGTCGACTTCTATGCCTGCTTCGGGATCAGCATCATCTTCACCTTCAGCTTCGTCTTCACCCGGCTCGGGCCCACGTCCACGAGCTTCTTCACCAGGTTCTTCGACTTTAGGCGGCGCGGTGGAGCGGGCCGAAATCTACGGCTTCGACGCCATCCTCCTCCCCGGCAAGAGCATTTGGGGATCTCCGACTTCTTCTTCTACTTCTGCTTCACCATCATCCTGTTCAACACCGATGATCTCTTTGAGCATCTTCATGTGCTCCAAGATGTCTTCAGAAACGGGTCGATGGCGATTGCTCCTCGCATTTCGATCTCCAACCAATAGGGAATATCATCCTTGACGTGTAGATGAACAATCTCTTTCTCAGGTGTTATCATGAACAGCAACTTCCCACAAATCCAGTGAAAATAGTATCCCATCTTCATGCATCGTCGACCAATAGATTACACCGTCGGCGTCTCATCCAGAACAAAGGGTTGGACTGTTTCCTTCAGCTCATTCACGTAGTACTTGATAGAATCCGAAGTGGATGTAGTACCATTTGCCGTTTGGAAGACAATCTCGTCCTTGTCCTGAACAATGTCAACACTGAGGGAGGCCGCCTTGGATTTGCCGATCAAATCATGATCACACCCTGTGTCCATCAGCCATTTTACTCCCTTGCATTGGTTCGCAGACAGGAATAGATTGATGGGTTGTCCGTGCTTCCTCTTCCATTGCACGACTCCTTCCGTAATCTCGTCATCCTCCTTGTCATACTCGAAAGTGAAGGTTCGCTCCTTGTTCATTGGCATTTTGTGAGTACGATATATGTCATTGACCGCCTCGCTCATAATCTCGGCTCTGATGAGTGCCTTCTTGTGACTATATGCAAGGTGTCGTCGATGATCATATGTCTTGAACGTCTTGGCGTCGACTGGTTTCGAGGATGATCGGGACGTGTCCTCATAGCTCCTTTGTGCGACATCGAATTGTTCCGGCGTCTTCGGCATCACGATCGTGATGCACAGCCTCGGCCTCGGCTTCACTGTCCTCAGCGTGTTTGTCGCCCCTTTTGGCTTCCGAAGTCGCGGCTCTCTGGACAGTGATAGCGGGCATTGCGATGTTGACCTTTCTCACAATTGCTGGAGCTGCTGCTTTCGGCTTGGCTTGTGCCTTGGCCTGTTGTTTGGCGTTAGGCGCAGGAGCGGATGCTTTGGGGTTTGCTGGTTCAGCGTGCTTGTATTTGCATTGATCCCCTTTCGTGCACTTTCCTTCTCTCCATGCATAGCAGACCCCGTCCCTCTTCGGTGAAGGAGTCCTTGCCGCTTTGCCGCCGCCTTTATCATTCTCCAACTTGTGCCTGTGCTTGGGGTTATGGGAATATGGACAATCCTTTCCTTTGAGACATCCTCCTTCTTTTGTGTAGTGGAAGACGCACGGCCATTCCTTCTTCTGTTCAGGGCTCATGCTTTTCCCTTTTCCTTTTCCTTTGCCCTTCTTGTCGTGGTCTTTCGCTTTTGCTTTGGGTAGCACTGGTGCTGCTGCGTTTCCATCATCTTCCTTCCCGGAATTCCCTCCTTTCCCTTTTCCATTCTTCTGTTCTGCTGGCGCCGCATTCTTGTTGCCGCTCAGCAAGTTCTTGACTGACTTCTCCTTCATGTCGTAGACGTAATCCTCGCGATCAGTCCGAAGTTGTCGATCAATCAATCCCAAAAGGAAACGCTAGGTCTTCTCGGGGTGTGCATCCGGTAACCGCGCATAGGTATTAAGAACAAATTCCAGCTTTGTCCCCGGGGTATTCCAGTCTGATCAAATGCTCGATGGTGAAAACCATGTCTGATCGACCACTTGACCTGAAAGATTGTAGTACGATGGCAATGATCTCTCTTTCCTTGATCAATCTGCTCTCTCTTTGGCGTCGTTCGGCGTGCAGCTGAATATCGTGTGCCACGTCCTTCGCATCATCAGGCGCACTTCTGAGCATCGTCTGGAGCGATAGGGCCAGTTTGAGATCCATCATTGCAAATCGTTCGCCTCCTGAATCGGCTAAGAAATCAAGGTCAGGGTTCACCACGAAAGCACCTGCCAGCCATGACATCCATACCTCGATATCAGGATCTGATGAAGCGCTGGTGACGTTCATGGTGAGTGCCATCTTCCAGCTGTCCAGCTTCGTGATCTTCGGCCATGGAGGTACGTTGACTTTCTCAGCCTCCTTCCGTGATATCCTTGGTCGACCACTGTCATCCCTCGACCTCCTTCTTCGTGATGATCTTCTGTTGCGACGACGGTCATCATCATCATCATCGGATGGTTCTTCCTCGTCGTCCTCGTCTCCATCATCATCATCGTCAGGTGGATCACGTGGATTTGGTCCTCCTGCTGCGGCTGGGACAGGAGCACGTCCTAGGCCCCCCGCGTTTCCATCTGTATTGCGATAACCGAGACCAGGTGGACCGCCATCTCCGTGACCACCACCACCTCCATTATTGCCGGTTGAACCAAATCTCATATTTGGAGTAGGTCCTACCGCTTCATGGAGTTGGTCGATATGAGCCTGTATCATTGGGTCTTGGTAGAAGAAGTGCTTCTTCCGAAATCGCGCAGTACCAATCGATGATCAACTCCTATCAGGTGAAGATCACTACGGACTCACAGAACGAGGAGAACACTATGCGTGGTTTGCGCGAGAGATTGGAAACAGCATTGTTGCCGCAACCAACAATGGCGATTGATGACGAGCCACAAGGTACATTGGTGAGCAAAGCAAATGATGCTATCAGGTACGCTGAACAAGAAGCCCATTGCGCACGGGTTGCCGCGAGCGAGCGGGATGAGATGTATCTGATCGGACAACGCGCAGTGCAGGAACGTGACGCAAAGATGAATGAGGAGATCAAGATCGCTGGAGATCGAGCCCTTTTAAGGAAATGCATTACATGATCGCGCCACGCTGAGGGATCAGGAGTTCGTCGACGTGACTCGCGAACTCGCTGCATCAAGGCAAAAGGCCAATGATGCGCAATCCGATTACCTCAATCAGATCGCTGCAATGTCTGAAGAGATCGAAGAGACACGAGAGCTTCGTATATCAGCTGGCAGAGACGAACAAGGAACTCGAAAGCGAGAACGCCACCCAAAACATCATTGCGGCGGACTCAAATGATCGTGGACGAGCTCTACTGAGGGATGATACTGTTAGGACCAGTAAACGCCATAGTTCGAAGACCCGTAAGAGTGATACCACAAATGGGCCTCAACAACAAGGTCAGGTAATGCTCTATCAGGCTACTGTGGCGGCTTCTAGTCCTAAGGTACAGGCGCCCAATGTTCCAAAGCCAATTGATTACAGCCTCGGACCGGGTTCTGTTTTGTTTCCTGTTTACTCTTGTTCAGCCTTGTTCTTGCTAACCAACGCATCTGATTCGATGTTCAAGCAGATTTACGGTTGCGGCCATCTCTTGGTGTCGCTTCTCGTACTCGAGGACCTTAAGTCGGGCTTCGTCTTGATACTCTCCGTAGATCTTCACGAGATGTTGTGCCTGATCTTCGGATAGTTTTGTCTTCCCACGTTGAATGTCAATGTGTTGGGCAGGTTCTCGAAGTTGTTCGTCGGATCTTTTGAGGATATGGGCTACTTGTTCCGACATGCCTGCTCTCCGTTCCAGTTCCAGAATGCGCGTGACATTGCCTTGGTCGTCACGTTCATATGACTCCTGAAGCATAGCCAAATGGTGCTTAGCCTCCTCCACTTCCTGTTTGAGGGTCTTGTTCTCCTGAGTGGTCTTTGACGGACTGGAGCCTGTAGGCGACTTCGATCGCCCTTTTCCTTTTCTCACAAGACTCATGACGCCCTTCACGCTCCATCTCGGTGTCGATAATGAAGCTGATGACGATCTCTTCTTTTCTCCGTCCTTGGACCGCACTGCATGACCAACTTCTTTCCAGGATGAATGTGATAGGTCGTGGCTATCACCAGATTTTCCAAAGGTTTGAGGGACCTTAAAAGAGGGGAAAGAACAGGGTGACCCTCAGAACCTGCCCTTAGGATGTTTTAGCCTGCGGCTCGGAGATTCTTAGTACTTGTGCTACAAAGTTGCGATTTTCCAGCTGGGGCTGGAAACCGGTACTTCGCGTACTATACTTGTGCTACAAAGTTGCGATTTTCCAGCTAGAGCTGGAAGCCTGTACTTCGCGCACTAGACTTGCACTACATGGTTGTGATTTTCCAGCGCTTGCTAGACTTCTGGGGGACACTTCTGAGCAACGCTTTGATTGACACTTTTCAAAACGACGACCCCTAAAACGCAAATCCCACTGCATTTGCAACGCAAGCGTGACGCCTCGCGAAACACTGCGCCTGCGCAGCGAAACGACACGTCGAGCTTGAGAAGCTACGATTCGCGCACAGGGCCAACGAAAACAGCAAATCACAAGAACTGTTGCGGACGGTTGCGGGCAGTTGCACAACATCCGGCGAACAAGGCTTCACCCCAGACCCCCAAGATGAAACGAGAACCCTATGCTACGCATTCGGAAAAGGCTGGGTACATCTCTGGCCGCGAGACACAGACGCCCTCATTCTAAAGTCCTCCTTTCTGAAAACCAACAAATCTCCCCTTAACACTCCGGCGCTGACTCCAGATTCCATTATTCTAGCCCCCCGCCCTTCCGAACTATAGCCGGGACTCTAGAACCAACGACTCGCCAGGCTCGCGCGCTTGTTCTGCACCACAAGGCCGCGCACCTCATCCCCCTCGCGGCCAGCCTCCTCTGCGCCTGCCCAGCCAGCAGCTGCACCACACGACCAGCCGTCCCCGCTGACAGTGCTCACCACAAATAGAACGAAATTTGTCCGCGTCATCTCTTCCATTGCAGGAAAAACCTCAAGCAGAACCCAAGCATGAGGTGTGCTTTCTGTCCATGAGAAGACGAAATCCCCCTTCGTCCGCAGAGCTGCCGCCAGGGGAAGAAACGCACGATCTCCGCAAAGGGCCGCGTGCGCGGATCACAGAAATCATAAAAGAAGTCCTTACTTTCTTAGCATCGACCACGCGGATCTCCGCAAAGGGTCACGCAGGCGCCGCTGAAATCGTAAAAAACAAGTCCTCTGGAGAGCTGTCCGACCACAATTCGCAGGGCCATTCTGCCCCTGACCGCAATTGCAACTTTTCACGGCAATTTGGGATTTTTGGGGCCATGCCGTGTTTTCACGGGCTGTCAAGGATTTCCACGGTGAAGGAACGGATTTCCATGACCTATTCACGGCCTATCCCAGCATGCGCGAGTAGACACGGTCAAACGGTATTTTCACGGCTTCGCGCACGAACGGCCTTTGATCTTGATAATTGCGATCAAAGAGACGTCACGGGTTTCTCATCGACCACGCGGATCTCTGCAGAGGGTCGCAATCCCGAGCTACGACCAAACTCCCACCCCGGCGGCTTGGAAACCTAAATTACCCTTACATTTGGCTCTGTGCCACTGGGCTCTGTGCAACTTGGCTCTGCGCAACTTGGCTCTGTGCCACATTCGCTCTGCGCCACTTGGCTCTGCGCCACCTGGCTCTGAGCCACTTGACTCTGTGCAGCTTGACTCTGTGCAATTTGGTCCAAGGGCTCCGCACGGAGGAATCCTTTGCGATGCTCTCGGGAAACCAAGTTCACCGGGAATTTAAACGCAAATGCGGGTGAAGCAAACATTCTCACAAGGTGGGGCGATTCTGTCGAGCGCATGACCAGCTCGACTTTGTGATCAAAAACCGTGCCGCAAGGAAGAAAGCAGAGTTCCGGCGCTTCCCGGCCAAAAGCATTGTGTGAAAACATTGCAACTTTCTGCGCGGAAGTGGAGAGAGTTGTTTTTGTCCGAAAATGTATTTTTGGTCAGGCTTGGGCTCCCGGCTCAGGCGACCCCGCCAAAAAGCACCCCTGCCACCTTTTGCGCGAAAGTGCGTCTGGTAAAAAGCACTCTTGCCAAGAATGGTCTTTTGGTCAAATGTGCTTCTTTGGTTAGGTTGGGGAGTCCAGCATTCGCCCTGGTTTTTGTCCAGCCGCCGCAGCTCGCCAGAATCGCTTCGGCCGTGTGTCTCCCCCGCATCGCTCCGCCCTGGTTCTATCCAGGCGTCTCCCCAGCATCGCTCCGCCACGGTTCGCCCCGTCAAGCTCCACCCCAATTCGTCCTCCTTCAGCAACCTGCACGACAACCTAAGCCTTTTGGCACAAAGGGTACGGTTGTCTTGGACTTGGCGCCCGGCACTCTGTCCGTGTCACTGCTGTGGGTGTCTGCGCTGTGCCACCAATGGACACCTGCACCAAGCAAACCCAAGTAGTGTGAGCCTTTCGTGGGCTGGGGTACCGAAGGCGTGTCTCAAAATTATGGACCTCATGGTGGCCTTTCACAAGGTTAAAAAGTGAATTCCACCGAACGAGTTTCGAAATCGGAAGATCGAATTGCTGATGCAAAGCCGCCCTGCAGCCCGCACGCGGGCAAGGTAAGTCATTCTGGCACATAGCGCATGGGCACACTAGCTGCAAACAAAGAGTTTCATGCCTTGGGCAAACGTACGCCAAATGCAGCATCCGTAACTCCGCAGGTCTAGTTGGAACCCAGGATTCAAAAACCTCTGCCCGACTAATAAAGTAGCAGAAGGATCCGGAGCATTTCTTGCAAAGACACGCCCTCTCTTGCACTGAAATCCAGCACGAACACTTTTTTTCCAGCGCCTAGGCATGCCTGCACGATGCCTTCAAACCTCCTGATCGCGTACGGTGGCCGTTGAGGCACCGTCTTCTTGCACCTTTGGCATGTGCAGCGCCCTGCGTGGCATCAAAATGAAACCACCCATTTGCGGGGTTCCCAATTTCATTCCCAAGGAGGTTTGATATAAACAGCACCGCAGCAGTTTCACTCCAAGCGATGCTATACGAGTCTGATAACCCACCTTTGCCTGTGGGATTTGCGTTGGTATCCACAGCATGAATTTCCTCATGCTGTGGCCCAGTCAATTCGCCGATTTCCTCGGCACATCGGGTTTACCCCCGATAAGCTCTGGATGCCCTGCATCAAGCAGGATACATCTCCCAAAGCACTTACTTTCACAACCTCTCCCAATGCACTCACAGGAACTCAGCGAAGGTAATCACGGCTCGGTACGGAAGCCTCAGTAGAGCTGGGGGGAAAAGACTGAAATTCAGCTTGAAGTTGTTGGCCCTGTACCATGGGTCACTGGGTCCTAATCGGCTGATCGCGTCGGCCCAATTGGATTTGGATGGAATGTGTTCCCAGTAAAGTGAGGCTCGCAACGCAAAGAGCAAACACTGAATGTACGTCGCCATCTTGGCCAAGTCGGGGTTGTCACTCCTGCCCCTGATCAAACACATAAGACTGGCGATGTTATCGATGAACCACACTCCGCGTCTCCCGCGGAATTGGTCGGGTCTCGCCGTGAGGGCGTGCACCACCATGAATAGCTCCAACTGGGCTATTTTATGGTCGCCTGGTCCCCACATGTCATAGACCTGCGAGGGGATGACGGCCACAAAGGCTTCCCGGATCTGCACGCCACCGTCCTGGAAGACCAATTGGTATCCGCCGGACCCTTGACGGGGTGCCTCCAAGGCCGCGTCCGAGGCAGCCACCACCCTCGGCACGTCCATGGTAAGACCATCTGCTTTTTTCTGGGGCGCATACTGACCGACATGAGGCTGGTGCCGGCTCTGCTAGAGCCCCCATACTGGTGCTCCTTCAATGCCTGGATCTCGCCTAAACCGATGCGCCCGAAGAGGCCATGCTCCAGGAAGTTGACCATGCCGTAGAGTTTCGCGGCTTGACCTGGGGTGAACTTCCCGCTCTTCCTGGCGTCACGCATGAAGGTGAGCACCTTCTGCTCGAGTCGCTCTCGAACCCAAAAACCGCGCACGCCCATGTGTGTGGATCTCCGAGAAGTCGAAGTCAAGACCCAAGAAGGTACCGACATCTGCAGCTCCCTGGCGCTTCTCCTCAGCAAACGGGGTGCCCAGCAGGTCATTGAGGACGCCAAAGCTCCACTGGGCTGATGGGCCGTGGACTGCGCGGTCGGTGATGTGGCTCGAAGTACATGGACACCATGATTGCCAGGAAACGCCTGCCCATAGCCTCCGCCATCCGAGAGTAGCGGTTGAAGGAGGTGACCGCCAACGGAAGTGGTACACCTGGAAGGCGGGCCCCTGCCATTCCTGGTGGTACCAGACTACCACACAGGCCAGGGCCTCCTGTCGTGACATGGGACAGTGGCGGTAGGCATTCGGCCAATCGTCTCCGGCCCCCCGTCCACTGCCCCTGCTGCGCGAAACGCTCCCAGGTGCACACCTGAAGGCAGGCTGCAGCAGCTTGGACGTGGAGCGCTGGGCGGAGCGGCGTGCACAAAACAAGTTTGTTGGAATCTCTTGATGATGCGGATTGCCCGCCCCGTGCTGCGTCGTCTATTAGACGTTGCTTGCCGGACGCCTGTGTGATAACACATCGAGGTATGAGCCGGTAGGGGTCTCCTTTGGCATACCGCTTGAGCTGGCTCAGGTTCATCGGGGGGGTGCAAAACCCCTCCTTGTGATCCTTCGTGGACTGCTCGAGGACGAAGGAGTCTGTGGAACCAGGCCGCACTCCCGCGATGGTGGCGGCATTGTGCTCCTCCCAGCCAGCCAACACCTCCGAGTGGGCGATCGCCTCGACGGGCTGGTGGGGGAAGACACCGTAATGAGGGGCATAGCCCACTGCGGGGAGGCCCTTGATGAATTTGTGAGGGAGGCGAAGTCGCCCCGCTGCATGAGGACGACAAAGAGTCCCAGCAAACCAAGATCGCGCTTCGAGGTAACTCCTCGGATGGCCTCGGACTGGAAGGTCACGAGGTGCTTAGACACCGGCGCCCACCTGCGCTTCAGCTCCTTGATGGCCCCTATGGACGCCCGACGGCGCTCCTTCAGGTTGTCGCTGTCCACCACCATGCTGGCCGCGTACCACAGGTCGTCGTCCAACGTGGGAAGGACCTCCAACGGGGTTGCCGTGGTGGTCCACTGCAGGGATGCGGCAAAATGGGTGTCTGCATCCAGCCCATATCCCACCAGAGGCGGGATGGAGGTCTTGTGGTTGTAGGCTCCATGCCGCTTGCCCTCCGCCAGCCGCTGGCGCCTCCGACTAGCGTTGGACGAGGAGGGTGGCCCCAAGGGCCCGTCCCACTCCATCCCGCGGCGCTGGCGCCAGTCCAAATAGCAAGTAAAGGGTTCCTGATTCAACAGGTCCTCCAACATGGGCCACTGAAAAGATTGGAACCACTTGGCCGGATAGAGCTTGCGAAAGGCCAAAATCACATTCTCCTGAGGAAACCAAAGTGGCATCGACTGCAGGGCGTCACCGCCGCGGAGCGATCCCATGACAGCCGCTGCCCTGAGCACAGAGCCCCTGGCCTGCCTATGCCGCCTCCCAGTGACTCTGGGCAGGCTGGCCTCGGCATCCGGATGGGTCGCATCAAAGACCATCCCAGCCAGCGCATCTGCCTCACAGACGCCGTCCGGGCCGCAATCACATGCCAGCCGTTTGCCCTGCAGCGCGGGCAGCTCTGCCTGCAAATTGGCGAGGACAAAGTCCACGTAGAGCGGCAGCCAGTCGTCCGTCGTACAGGTGTGCCCCTGCACGAACGGTGATGCCCACTGTGACCGTGGGACCCGGTGGGAGTGGTGGCCCTGCCCCACGTAAACGTCCGGCGGAAGCTTGCCATCTGCGAGTACGTCAGCCACTCGTACCACCGTAGGCAGCCGCGCCCGCTCCTCGGGATGCAACGGTGGCAGCCCGAGTGTGATGGCCAGCGGAGTCATTGCCCAGCTACGCATAGCTCTGGGATCGATGTCCAGCCAGTGTTGCCTTCGGCCACACGCCTTCAGCGGCGGCATCCGTGGCACGTGGAGTCGGGCATGCCCTTCTCGGATCGTCCACCAACTGACCGAGACAGCAATTGCGAAGGCCAGGGTGGCTGAATATTCCGCTTCTTCTTTCGACGGGAACTGGTGCCTCCCCTGGGTGTCCTCCCAGGGTCCCACTCCCATGCTGCATGCTGATGGTGGCATTCGCGAGGGTGAATCAGCTCGATCTCATGGATGTTGTGCCGCAGCCGCTGGTGTTTGCAACGCGCTGACATGAAAACGCATGCCGAGTACGTTGTGTCGTACCAGAGGCCGGACTCCATCATGGTCTCCTCCTGAGGGAGGGACCAATGGAGGCTTCGAGCCGGGTTCTCCCGCAGGGCCCCCCTGCCATCGTCCGCTATAGCCTGGAGCTGCCTCAGAATCCAGGAACATGCCGCATTGTCCACATCCACCCGCCTTTGGTTCTTGGGGTCAAGCCCGGTGTACCTCAGACCGCAGCGGTTTGGGACCTGGGCGGCCGTCCTCGTGGAGCAGTCCAGGGCTGGCTGCTGACCGCATAGGTGCCTCAGTGCTTGCTGCCTCAAGGGGTTGGACAGGTCGTGCCCCGGGTCCAGCGACCAGTCGATGGGCAGCACCCTCCAGCCACAGAAGAGAAACGCCTTTGCCAGGGGCATGTTGGGACCACACATGAGGTCGACCATCAACGGGCCGTCTTCCTGGGATGCAGTGGCCTGCTAAGCGTGCCAAAAGCTTTGGCAATCAGGCTGGCGGGGCGTTGGGGAACGGCAGGGCAGGCCTGGGGCAAGGCGGCAAGGCGCCGGGAGAGCAAGACGTGCCACTGACAGCGGGCAACTCAGTTTTCCTCCCGTTCGGCCCGCGGGAAACTGTTCCAATCCAAGCCGGGCCGCGCAAAAAAAACAACCCACTGACCGTCAGTGAGTTGTGTTGTTTTTTGTGTTGGCTAGACGAAGTCTCTACCAAGTTGCCTGCAGGAACCCACGCCAGACGTCGTCCGAGTTTGGCGCATGGGTCGCGTTGCGCAAGAGGTTCCACCACGGGCGAAGAGCCCACCTCGGCCCCTCAGAGCAAAACCCCCCATCGCACCCGCCAGGCTGCAGGGGAATGGCCCGCTCAGCAAACAAAGCGAGAAAAGAAAGAAGCAGGCGGCCCCCCCCCCCGCCCCCCGACTTCGCCTATCTCGGCCGCGCCCGCGTCGTCGACGTAGGGAAAGAAAGCGGGAACGAGAAAAAAGCACGCGCCCCCGCGGGTGCCATGCGGTTTGCGATCCTAGGGGTACTGCAATGCCTGGACCACCAGGCGTAAGGAGCGGATAGCACTTTGGGAGGACATCTGCAAAAGTATTGTCGCCCGTGTCTGAAACATGCGACGCCAGGGACGCCACAGACTGAACC